GTTGTAGGCTATATGATAGAGGAAGGAACTGGTAGAACCACCTCTGAGTATTCCTTGTGTAAGAAAACCCTATGAAATTAATGGGGTCACCTTAAGTCAACTGTTGACTTGAAGGCACACACATGCACACACACTCTACAAGGTCCTGGTTCATCCAGCCAAGGAAAGTGGAGACTGGAACATTTTCTAGAACCTGAATGATTTTAGAGTGGTCTCTTTTGTTCACTTTTTACCTGCAGGGATTACCTCAGGCAGTGAATGGCCTGGGTTGGTATTATCATAATTTTAGAAGAGACTATGCAAAAGCAGCCAAATATTGGTTGAAAGCTGAAACTATGGGCAGTCCTGAAGCATCCTTCAATCTTGGTGTCCTGTATTTAGATGGAATTTATCCAGGACAAACTGGTCGAAATCATGTGAGTATAAACAATTATTTATATGCAAAAATAAAATATTTCAGTTGTCTCATCACAACCACCACCATCCCAAACAATTCACAATATGAATAAATATGTACCACCAGGCTAAAAACAAGAAGCCAGATATTAAAATTACAGAAAGGGAGAGGGACCTTGAACCGAACCAAACCAAACCAAATCAAATAAGTGGAACCAAAAGGATTTAGCATCATGCAGACAATCCTGACTTGAAAATGAACACACACACACACACACCATTGCCCTCACCTCTGCCTCACTTTGGAAGCCCTACAACCTGAAGATCAAAAGGCTTTGTAGCAATTTTTTGGTATTCAGATTTGCTACATTTCTTGTCCAAGGTCTACAGTGCTAGGAGCTTTAGCTGGTATATTCTGGTTAGTCATCCGATTAGGAGAAAGAGAAAAGCCAGTGATGTCATGAGATTCCCATTCTGAGCCCCCATTGCTGCACGTTTATTAAATAATGAAAAGAGGTTATGGCCAAAGAAACAATAGCTTTTCAGACTACTGAAGCCAATATGCAGGAGTGATCACTGCTTGTAATGTATACACTCATCTCACTTTCACCTCTGATCAAAGTAGCTTTTACAGGCTTTTATAGTCAAAAAACCCTGCAGAATCTGTTTAGCCAGATTCTGCAGAAAAAAGAAATGTAGGTGTGTGTGGTGGGAAGTGATGCTTCATCCACTTTTGGTTCTCTTGAAATCTGTTCCTGGTTTCCAGCTTCAAGCGCAGCAATATTGTGAGCAAATGAATCTATCTTACTGCTGATGATATTAAACAATACTTTCATATCTGGCTTTTGAAATGTATAATGGAGATCTGGTAGATTCAGTTGTTACTGTTCAGTTATTATTGACTAGCTGCAAAAATTCTAATGAAAAACGTTTATTACAATTCTTGAAGACTCATGTTTTCACCATATGCATACCTCGTTATTAAAAATAGTGAAAAAGAATATAAGAAAAGTTATTTCTACCTTTCTTTTAAAACCAGACTGTGGCTGCTGACTATTTCTATAAAGCAGCAGAAGGTGGTCACATGGAAGGCACATTACGGTGTTCTCAGTATTATATGACAGGAAATTTAGCAAGCTTTCCCAGAGACCCCGAGAAGGCAGTAATGTAAGTAAAGCTAAAAGCTGTGGGCGGCCAAAAAAAAAAAATCTAATTCTTAAAGGAGTGATTATTAGGGGGGGGGGGGGGGAGAAATACTGGATCATGCAGTTCCTCTCCTTTCATACTCCATTTTGAGCATCAATAAGAAGCTCATTGAGTAAAAGCACTTTTGCTATTCCCCTTTAAGGAATGCATCTACTTGTCCTCACCGCAAATAGGATGGATCTTTCTAAAGTTCTTTTTTCCTAGGAGCAGTAGCAGACAATATGTGCTCCCAGTGCTTGAGGTGTGTTTGTTTCTTGGAGGGGAAAAGGAACAATGATCTGCTTGAGGACACAATGCAAGTGTTGAAAGCATTTTTCTTTACTTTCAGCACAATGGGCAAATGATGGGAGTAATTTAAAAGTAGATTCAGTCAAGGGTTTGTTGGTAGTGAAGCACAGTTTTAAGCATTTGTCTTGCTCAAAGTTCTGTAAGTGTATTGCAAGTCAACAAGGCATTTTTAATGAAGGTAAGTTCATCAGAAAAATAACAGTCGAGTACATAATAAAATGCAGTATATGTAATACAGATATAAATAAATCATATGAAATGAATTCATGTTTATATGATTGTTTTTAGCTTTTATTTGGTAATGTCATACATTTTTCTTGAATGACCTACCGTACATTTTTGTAGTGCCTTGCCCTTCTATATTGTTATAACATCTGGTCACCCTGTTCATGAGTGTGAACTCCTTCAGAGATGGCGAGGCTCCATCCCCACTGCAGAAATAATTCTGTTTCAGACTACTTTAACTGTCATGGCTCAATGCTATGGAATTTCAGGAACTGTAGTTTGTTGTGGCACCAGAGCTCTCTGATTGAAGAGTAGACACAATCTCTCACAAAACTGCATCTCCCAGAATTCCATTGCATGGGGCCATGGCCATTAAAGCAGTGTCAAACTGGATTATTTCTGCAGTGGGGAAGCAGCCTGCCAATGTAAAACAAGGTTGGACAACTCTGGAAAGACTGGGGCCATCCCACCCTATTTTCTGCCCCCACTGTACTTATTGAGACAAATCTATAAATGTTCAGAAGACTATTTTTTTCCAAAATGTAATCTGTACCAATACAAAAGTGTGTGGGAAGGGCATTCTTTAGGACAGGGATAGGCAACCTTTCCCCTTTAAGGGCCGAGGGACTTCAGCTCCCAGAATCCCAGGAGCTATTGGCCAACATGGGACTATTGGCCAACATGGCTGAGGCTTCTGGGAGCTGAAGTCCCTTGGCCCTTAAAGGAGAAAGGTTGCCTACCCCTGCTTTAGGAGAACTGTGCTCCAAGTGTATTCCTGATAATTCTCAGTGGGGTGTCAATTTAAACAAACAAACAAACAAAAAGACCATGGGAGTGTCTTAGGTGCCATACAGATGTGCCTTCTTGGATTTCATGATTCCTGCCCCTGAGTTAGAGTGTAAGGCAAGCCAGAAGCTCAGCATGTTGGGAAGGAGGAGATTCTCTCATGGGCTCCGAATTGGGGTGTGTGTGGGGAGGGGGTGTAAGCATCTGCCCACCGTAATGTTTTAATGCTATTACTCTTGTTTAATGGTAATTTTAATGCTGATGTTTTCATTTGCAGCTGGGCAAAATTTGTGGCAGAAAAGAATGGCTATTTAGGCCACGTCATCCGAAAAGCACTTAATGCTTATCTAGATTTATCTTGGTAAGTTTGGTGCTCCTGTTCTGTTTCAAAAGCTGATTTTTAAATATGTATGATGTTATATTATTGTATTGCAAAGGAATAAATGTGTGCTTTCCCTGTGTCATACTTTTGTCACAGATGAGAGTCAAATAAAAGGAGGGGGGGGGGAGTACAAAATAGAAATTCTGTACTTTATGGTGTGGCATGGCCAGCTGATGTGGTGTAGTGGTTTTGTGTTGGACTAGGACATTGGGAGACCAGGGTTTGAATTCCTGCTTGGCTGTGGAAACCCACAGGTCACACTCTCTCACCCTCAGAGGAAGGCAAAGGCAAACTGAACAAATTCTGCCAAGAAAAAAAGGCAATAGGTTCACCTTTTGATTATCATAAATCAAAAATGACTTGAAGGTGCACAACAGCATAGTGGCCTCTAAATAACACCTAAATTAGAATAATCACTCTTTAATTCAATTGCTAACTATATTAGTGCCAAGAAATATGATATTTTCATTTATTACAAACCATTGGTCCAGTATTTTATTATTGTATTTATTTAAACTTTAAATACATTTTAAAACATTTGTGTATGACTTCTCACCACCGCCACCCAGCAACCCTCGGAAGATGTATAATGAATTGCCCTAGCAATTCAAGTCATAGTAGATACGATATTTATTAGATCTCCAGTCTTGCTCAAAATTTAGCAAATAGCAGCTGGGGTGGAGGACATATACATGTGTATTTACTGTAATGCGTGGCTCTGAAGGAACAAATTTCATTTGACAAACAGTGTGCAGTGGGGGAGATGGTGGAGATCTATGTAAGGATCACTTGTCTCTTTAAATTTTAGCAAACAACATCTTGTGATTTTTGCACTTCAAGTGGAGATTACTTTCTCACACACACACCCCGGCCCACCTGACCATTTTCTTTCTTTCAATAGTTGACCAAATCCAGTGCTTCTTAAAGTATGTGGGTACCTCTAGGAGCACTGCAAAAATATTTTCTGGATGCTTGACAAATAGAAGTTCACACACCCTTTTGTAGAAAGAATTTAAGTAAGCCTGGCCTAAATTCCCTAAAGGCACCAGATCCCATGTGATCTCGGGAGCTAAACAGGTTCAGGCCTGGTTAATACATGGATGGGACACTTCCAAGGAATACCAGGTTCTGTTGGCTATATTTCAGAGGAAGGAACTGGCAAAGCCACCTTTGAGTATTCCTTGCCCATGAAAACCCTGTGAAATGTATGGGGTTGCCATAAGTCAACAGGCAATTTGAATGCACATGCATACACCGGAACTTACAAGAGTGATTGATTAGTAGAGCTGAGCCACCAGATGTCAATTCTTATATTTAGAATCTAACCAGTAGGTGTAGCTGTTGCTTTGGAGACCTAGCCTTTCTTTCTGTTGTAGCCCTGCCTTGGGTACTAAAATCCATAAACTACTTGGTGTCAGAGAGATCCAGAAACTGATATTTGGTGTCAGAAATTTCCATTCTGGAGCTAAGAGCAGTTTGGTGAGGGGTAGGGTGGGCTCTGGCACATGAGGTTTTCCAAACTCTGGTCCTAATCCTGGAACAGAGGGGCAGCAGCTGCTGTGGTTGTAGTTGTTGTTACTATTGTTGTTGTTGTGTGCCTTCGTTTCCAGCTTATGGAGACTCTAAGGTGAACCTATCATGTGGTTTTCTTGGCAAGTTTCTTCAGAGGGGATTTGTCATTGCCATCCTTGAGGCAGAGAGAGAGTGACTTGCCACATGGTGAGATGGGATTCGAACCCTGGTATCTGGAGTTGTAGTCCAGTGCTCAAACCACTACACCATGCTGTCAGCTGATGTGTACCATTTTAAAAAGGTTGGCATGGGAGATTATCACACAGGGTTATAAAACAGGAGACAATCACACAGGGTTATAAAACACGTCTTTATAGCGTAATCATGTGAAGATTTTCACACGATGTTGCTCTCATCCAGTACTACTACTGTGAATAACCTGGAACCGTGTAACTTCTTATTAACGGGGAAACCCCGTGAATGGATTGCCAATAGCACTTCATTCATGCTATTGCAAAGGCACTGAAGCTAATAACAATGCATTTTTATTATTGGGAAGCTGTACAGGCAATTTGCTGTCATTGCTAGGATTGTTTTCAGAGTAGATTTCTATCTTAGTTTGAGGTATAGGGCATTATTTTATTTGAACTGGATATATATCATGTTGTTAAATACAGACATTTTATTTTGTTCTGTTTGGGATGGAACTATATTTTTCGGACATGTGTGGTAGTGTAATAATGAGGCACGTGTGAAACATCCAATCACGATATACTAATGATGCAGCAATGCAGTTGGCTTTTGTGTGTGGAATGTGACTGCATTTTTGTTTCGCTTTTATTTTGTTATAGTGCGATTGAGCAACTGTGTGGAACTATAGATCGCTATAGAGCTATGCTTCCATTATCTTCCAATAGTGTGATTGTTGTGGAATTGGCCCTAGTATGATAATCTCCATAGAAAGTGATACGCAGTTGTCCCTCCAGATTCACGGAGGATCCGTTCCACCCCCCCTCCCCGCAGATTCGAAATTTCACAAATTTCACAAGGTGGGGACAATGGGGCTTGACTATTTGGGAAATTCCCTCCCTCCCTCCCTTACCGGCATCTGCCCCCCGTCCCAGGGCCTGTAATCAGTTCTGGCTGCCATCAGGACTCACTTTCCCAGCAGCACTTGGGGCTTGGCGTGCGCATGTCCCCCCGCCACAGCCAATTGATGTATTTTGCGCCCATTGGTTGCTGGTGGGGCAGGGCGTGCGCATGCCTGGCCCTGAGCGCTCCTGGGAAAGTGAGTCCTGATAGCTGCTGAGGCCGATTAAAAACCCCGGTGCCCAGGGGAAAATGCCAGGAAGGGAAGGAGCGAACGAGCGAGCAAGCAAGCGAATCACGACCTTGGTTTCACAAATGATCGAAACCGCGAGTGCCAAGGCCGCGAATGGGGAAGGACATGTGCATATATATTACCATCTCTAGTTTACATGGCAGTCCTGTTTCTAAACACAAACGTCTTAATCCTAACTAGAGATGATATCTCAATCAAGTGAATTTGGCATGTAGTTCGGATACAGTAAGACCATATAATGAAAATCTTGGGCTCTTGGCAGGGGAAAGCTGAGTCTTTATTCCAGCTATGCTTTCCCTCCTTGGGCAACTTATAAGTCAATATTTTTCCTTGTGAGCTGAGAAGAGCAAAATATAATCTCCACTTATTGAAAATTGCTGTTTGTTTTTTGAGGTGGTGAGGGAGGGAAGTAGTCAGTTGTTCCTCCTACCCAAACCCTGATGTGCTTCAAAGGTTCCCTTACTATAAACTTTGTATGCATTCTTCACAGCCTCAGTTGGGTTCTAGTATTGTCCTGTCTAGTGCGAACTCCAGTAGTGTGGGTATTTAAAGCAGTACTCTCCTTACTTTCAGTGGTGCCCAAACTTTTGTCCTCCAGATATTTTGGACTTCAGCTCCCAGAATTCCTGACTGTTGACCAAACTGGCTGGGACTTCTGGGAGTTGCAGTTCAGTTGCAGTTCAAAACACCTTAGCATCAAAGTGCTTTATACATTCATGGACTACAGAAACATCTTGTCAGGAGCTACTCTTATGTTGGAAATCCTGAGGGATATTTTAAGGGGGTGGAGTATGGACCCCCGAACAAGCCTCATTGTTGCCCCACTTGAATGAGGGCTGCACCCTTAAATACCCCCAAATTCCTCTGCAGTTGTCCCTTTCATGCTGATGATATTCAAAATGTCAGGGAAACATTACCAGACTTCTCACTGAGGCACCCCTAATAAGCCTCTCTCAGTGGCTTCCATATCAGTGGGGCAGTGAATACTCTCCAGATTTCTGTCAAAACTTTAAAGGAGGTATCCAAGGTGCTGAATCCTATCCCAAATATAAATCCAGCATGTTGGATAGTTCCTTTGAAGTTCACACTGAATCCCAGGCTTATTGATATGGAAGGGACCAGTGGTCTCTGGCTTCCACTAACCCTTTCTAATTCTACTGCTTTCCGATTTTAGGTATGAAGCTCTGCTGTATTACATACTTGCTGCAGAGACTGGAAATGAGGTTTCACAGACAAATCTGGCACACCTCTGTGAAGAGAAAAAAGTAAGTAAATGTCTTCACAGCCTTTCTGTTTTAAATATTTACATTGCTGCATTTCTTTTCAAGCTGTCTTTGAGTATGGAACCCTCCCACTCCATAGGCCACACATATAACAAAATAAACAATGCAAAACAATAAAACTCTGTTTAAAACAGGGATGACATATAAAAGCCAAACTCAAGCTTATAAGTAATAAAAGACCAATGTAAACAAGTAGATGTTCAGTGTTTTCCTGGAAGTCTGCAAAGCAGGACCTGAAGAACCTGCTGTGGCAGCTCATTCCATTGGCATGGGGCCACCACCAAACAGACCTTTTCCCTTATATTTACCATCCTAATCACCCATGGTAGTGAGCAAGTGAGGATGGGCACTTCTGATGGCTTCAGAAATCAGGTTAGACTGGTACGGGTGAATTCTTTGATCATTTTAAATCATTAAATATTACATACTATAAAACACACTAGGGCATTCTTTTTCTCACTTTCCCCAGCATTTGGCAAAAAGATACTTGGCTACTGATTGTGTTTGGAGATACTACAACTTCTCAGTTTTTCAAAGCAATGCTCCCACCTTTGGTATGTATGTACATGGGTTAAAGGTAAGTCTGCATGCCTTTGGTAATGTAAAATGACCTCCTTCCAGCTATGATTTTTAATAAGCTAACACTTGATGGAAAGCAATAAGCAATTTTTACTCATCGGATTTGGCTTCTTAACCTCAGTTGAGTATGGAAGGACATGAGTATTCATGATCCTTGATCCTTAATCTTTGTTTCTTTCCATAGCTTATTTGAAAGTGGGAGACTTCTACTACTATGGATATCAGAACCAGTCCAGAAATTTGGATATCTCAATACAGATGTATTCTCAAGCTGCATTACATGGAGATGCCCAGGTAAGTGATATCTAAATAGAGTAGACAGCATAAAGCCAGAGAACATTGTGAGATCTGCCGAGTGGCCCTCAGTCCCTAATAGATCCATATGACTGAATAATGTACAGGGCTTGGACACTGATGGCTGTAAGGGTCAACAGGGCTGAAGCATTTGCAACTCATGCCTGTCATTGTATGCCACAGTACAGTATTAGATGCATCAACAGGCCAATTTGACCAAAGTATGCAAATTTCAAGTTTTTCTCCCTTAAAGCAATAGAAAAGTATAATGCCTTGGTGGTGTTAAGTCTGTGTATTAGGATGGGATATTGCAGTAGATATGGCATCAGGAACAAGCACATATGTAGTGCATCCTCAGTTCTTTATGTGAGATATCCAATCACTAGAAAATGCAAAGGCGTTTATGTCTAAACATTTAAGGCTAAATCTAAAGCAGGAAGCAAACAGCCCCCTGGATGCAGCTGAATTACAACTCCCAGCATCCTCCACCATCAGCTAAGATGGCTAGGCTGATGGCAGTCAGAGCTTAGCAGCATATGGATCTACATGATCTCCATCACTAGGCTGCATCTACACTGCAAAATTAATGCAGTTTGACATTACTTTAACTGCCATGGCTCAATTCTATGGAATTCTGGAATGTATAGTTTTGTGAGATATTGAGCCTTTTCGGTCAGAGAGTTCTGATGCCAAAACAAACTACAAATACCAGGATTTCATAGGATTGAGCCCTGGTGTCAAAATGCATTAATTCTGCAACATGGCAGTAGTCCTGGTCTACACCTCTACGTGATATAAAATTATTTTTTGTTAAAATGTTTATTAATTTTAATTCAAGAATTCTTTTATTATAGGGATTCTATAATTTGGCCATTCTTCTTGAAGAAGGTTACTCCATCCCAAGTGACATTTTAGATAGTTTAGAAATTGACAAGACCCTCTACACCAGTAAAATAAACCTTCATCAGGAGCTTTATGAAAGGTGAGCCAGGTCTTGTTCGTGTTCGTATCTGCCTTGATTTTTTTAAAAATGGTAGTGAAGTATTTACAATACCTTAGAGTTGATGTAAAGAGTTTAGATTTGAATAATCATCTCTTGCTTTATTTGGGGGAAAATGTTCATTGCCTGCTTATCAAAACTGAATGTAATGTACAAGATCAGTTTTAAAATGGTGTGTATGTTTGTATAAGGCAATAAAAAATAAACAGTCCCCAAAACTGTTCTGAACACACTGACCACTAGACTCCAGAAAATGTCTCAGAGTTGTAGCCCTTCTGGACCTAACCCTAGGCCAAGGCCTGTGGATGGTGTGGGTGGTTAAGAATACAGGAATGGGACCAGCATGCATCCAAAGGCAGTTTTTGTAACTGCAGTACAGCCCCCAAGAGGGCAGTATCTGATTTTTCAAAAAAACATAACCTGAAACCAGTAGGTAAAGAATGGTTGCTCAAAATAAGTTATTTACGTTAATATGTTGTTAAGTGTCAACAAGCTCAGTGGGACGTCATCTTAAATATGTTTAGGATTGTAGCCTTAACTGTTAGAACTCATGGGGCCCTTTCACACTACACAATTTTAACACTGTGATTCCACTTTAATTGTCATGTTTCCATCCTACAGTATCCTGCATAACTTCCAACTGTCCTGGTTTGGCAGGTGCAGCAACTGCACTGCAGAAATAATCCAGGTTGACACCACTTTAGCTGCCATAGCTCAGTGCTGTGGAATTCTGGGATTTGTACTTTTGTGAGACATTTGGCCTTTTCTATCAGAGAGC